CTCAGGAGGCTGAGATCTGAGGATCGCGGTTCAAAGCCAGCCCGGGCAGGAGAGACTGTGAGACTCCTATCTCCAATAAACTTCTAGAAAACCGGAAGTGGCACTGTAGCTCAAGTGGTAGAGCGCTCGCCTTGAGCTGAAGAGCTGAGGGACAGCGCCCAGGCCCAGAGTTCAAGACCCACAACCGACCCAAAAAATAAATAAAATAAAAATAAAAAAAGAGCAGGGTACCCAGGTGCATACCTGTCATCCTAGTTACTCAGAAGCTAGGATCTAAGGATCGTGGTACAAGGCCAGTCCAGGCAGGAAAGTCTATGAGACTTTTATGTCAATGAACCAGCAAAAAGCTGGAAGTAAGCCAGGCGCTGGTGGCTTATGCCTGTCATCTTAACTACTCCGGAGGTTGAGATCTAAGGATCACGGTGCAAAGCCAGCCCAGGCAGGAAAGTCTGTGAGATTCTTATCTCCAATAAACCACCAGAAAACTGTAAGTGGCACTGTGGTTAATGTGGTAGAGCACTAACCTTGAGCATAAAAGCTCAGGGACAGTGCCCAGGCTCTGAGTTCAAGCCCGGGGACTGGCACATGCGCACACACACACACACACACACACACACACGCATGCACACATGCATGCACACATGCACGCACCACACACACACCTGTCCCTGCCTCCACTTTGACTGTCTCACAAGCATACTGTCTTATAATTCTCTTGATGCACACACCATCAGCCTGTACCCCTGGGTGATTTCTGGCACTCATCTTCTCCTCACCTTCCTGACAGGAAGGTTAGCACACTCTTTCTTGCCTTTTCCCTCCCTCCTTCCCTCCCCAGACCTCCAAATTTTCACTTACTCTTGTTTTTTTTCTTTACCCATTCAGGATGAAGGTCATTGTCGATGGCCGCAAATACGGGGTAGGGCAGGGCCCCGGCCTCCACATCCTTCTTCAGGCTGGACAGACAGGAGTCCTGGAACTGTGGCAGGAGACGAGGAGTGGAGGACTGACCCCACCCTATCATCCCAGGTGCACAGGGACTGATGTCAGGCAAAACCCCGGGTATGCATGGTGAGACATGTTTGATGTAGGCAGGAAAATCTGACCTGAGTCTGGCTATACACATTTCAGTGTGGTATGGGGTGCTGGTGGCTCACAGCTGTCATCCTAGCTACTCAAGAGGCTGAGATCTGAGGATTAAGGTTCAAAGCCAGCCTGGGCAGGAAAGTCAGTGAGACTCTTATCTCCAATAAACCATTAGAAAACCAGAAGTGGAGTTGTGGCTCAAGTGGTAGAGCACTTGCCTTGAGCTGAGGGACAGTGCCCAAGCCCAGAGTTCAAGCCCCACGACCATCAACAACAACAAAACCTTTTCAGTGTGGGCCTAACCTATAGGGAACTCTGACGCCCAGGAATGGGTTAAGAGGTTAGAATGGCAGAAGGCTGAGAATTAGATCCTGAGAAAGTAAAACCATCAAGGCAAGGCAGATGTGGAGCTGTTTGAACATTAAAAATGCTTGAGAAGCCAGGTGCCAGCGGCTCACACCTGTCCTCCTAGCTACTCAGGAGGCTGATATCTGAAGATCATGGTTCAAAGCCAGCCCAGGCAGGAAAGTTCATGAGACTCTCATCTTCAATGAACCATCAGAAAACTAGAAGTGGTGCTGTGGCTCAAGTGGTAGAGTACTCACCTTGAGCTGAAGAGCTCAGGGACAGTGCTCAGGCCCAGAGTTCAAGCCCCATGACCACCACCACCACCAAAAGCCTGAGACCTTGGAAGTAGGATGATTCCCTCTGCTCCCTAACCATAAGGGAATGAATTACTCCTCTGTACTGAACTCAAGTAACCTCTGTCTCCTTTCTCAGACCCCATAAAAGCCTAACTCCAACCCCACCTCCTTGCACAACCTCTGATCCCTAGGGAAGGTTGTTGCCCCTTGCTGTTCCTCAATAAACAGTCCTAGACTGTTGAGACTGAGTCCAACCTTTTCCTTTTTCCAAGGAGAGTGAGCTCTAGGGGGCACAAAGATGTCATCAGGTCCCCTCCCTACAGGGGGTGCCATGTCTAGAACTGGGGTCTGTCTTCTCAAGCAGGCTCAAAGAACTGAGAAGTTGCCAGGTGCCAGTGGCCGTAATCCTGGCTACTCAGGAGGCTGAGATCTGAGGGTCACAGGTCGAAGCCAACCCGGGGCAGGAAAGCCCTGTGAGACTCTTTATCTCCAGTCAACCACCAGAAAACCAGAAGAGGAACTGTGGCTCAAAGTGGTAGAGCACTAGCCTTGAGCTAAAAAGCCCAGGATAGTGCCCAGGCCCAGAGTTCAAGTCCCACAGCTGACAGGAACTGAGAGATTGGAGAAAGAGAGAGACAGGGTAGGGAGGGGTAGAGTTGTTAGACAAGATGCCTAGGGGGACATCTATAAGGGCAATGTGGTGAAGACCTCAGCCAGACTTACCTCTCTGCTCTGTCTAGAGACAATTAAGTAGGCCCAAAAGTCAGTGAGAGAGTAATTTTTGAAGCTGGACGATTCTATGGCTTTCTGCATGCTGACTGACATGGACCACTCCGGCTGTTCAAATCGATGTTTCAGATTGGACTCAACATGGGCTATGTCCCCATGGTTGCTGTAGAAGGAAGACATGGCCCTGTGGGGGAGAGAAAGTGTGGGGTGATATATGTGATTTCTGCATGGAAAATGTGCTCAGATCCAATAGGAATGTCTTCCCTGGGCTAAGAAGTAGACTTATAGGTGTGGGTGCTTTGGGCCTTCTTTTACTATCAGGCTGATATCAGAAGTGTGGAAAGCCAGGGAAGGTGAGCAACATGAGGTCATTAATTAACTCAGGGAAAGTGCTTAACTAATTTATGCTAAAACTTGGGAAAGGATTTAAGCACCTGCTGGAATGATTCTTCCATTTTATAAGCAGGAGGAAATAAAAAAGAGAGCAAAAGCCAGGTGCCGGTGGCTCACGCCCGTAATCCTAACTACTCAGGAGGCTGAGATCTGAGGATCTCAGTTCAAAGCCAGACTGGGCAGGAAAGTCTGAACCAAGCTTATCTCCAATAAACCATCAAAAAACCGGAAGTGGTGCTGTGGCTCAATTGGTAGAGCGCTAGCCTTGAGCTGAAGAGCTGAGGGATAGCCCCCACCACCACCAAAAACAAAACAAAAAAAAAAAGAGCAAAGCTAGAACGAATGACTCCCGAGAGCCAAGTTTTGTTGCTATTTTTCTAGACAAGAGATGTGGCCATCACCTTGTCTTCACAGCCAACCAAGAAAAAGAAGAGGAAGCTCATCTTGCATTGTACAGAGGAAGATACCGAGGCCCAGAGTGGTTGAGCAACTTCCCCAACCTCAAGCAGGCAGGACAAAAGCTGCACTGGGTTTGTTTCCAGATCATCCACCATCTTCACATCTAGTTCTCTATGCTGTGCTGGGGCAGAAGGGACGGAAAACAAGCCCGGGCGTTTTTTTTTTTTTTTTATAGAGGAATAGCTTGCTGCTTCCCATGTAAGAACTCAGAAGGGATTTTTGACGTTCCTGTTCCTGGGTATGAAGTGCTAACTGTTTTCATTTGTTCTGGCCAGTAAAATCACCCCTGGAAAGCCAGGTGTCAGCAACTCTCAGCTCACACCTGTAATCCCAACCACTCAGGAGGCTGAGATGGAAGGATCGTGGTTCAAAGCCAGCTCATACAGGAAAGTTCCTGAGACTCTTTTCTGTAATTAAGCAGCAAAAATCCAGAAAAGAGAGTCTGGGGTTCGGAGTTTAAGTCTCAGTCTAGAAGCAGAAGCAGCAGCAGAAGAAGAAATAGTTTTGGGCTTCTAACAGCACACAGAGGGTCAGAGGGCAGCTCTAGGAACTGAACAAAGCTAGTGGGTGAAATGCCTGTCGTGTGTGTGTATATGTGTGTGTGTGTGTTTGTGTGTGTGTGTATATGTGTGTGTGTGTGTGTGTGAGTCCTGGGGCCTGGGCACTGGGCACTGTCCCTGAACTTCAAGGCTGGTGCTTTACCCACTTGAAACACAGCTCCAATTCTGGCTTTTTTTTTTGTATGTAGTAATTTAGTGGAGATAAAGAGTTTCAAAGGCTTTTCTGCCCTGTTGGCATTGAACCACAATCCTCAGATCTCAACCTGCTGAGTAGCTGGGATTACAGGCATAAACTACTGCATCCAATTTGAGTGGTTTTATGACCTAGACATGGTTGCTTCAATCATTGGCCACTGGCAACTCCAGCACCAGCTCTTCTCTTCCCTCCTGAAGCACATAGTGCCTCCCCAGCCAAGAATATCACCCTAGTTTAGAACCAAGTGTGTCCCTGCCACCATCATCACTATCAGGGGGCACCAACAAGCTCTTCCAGGAACTGGGAACCTCTCTATACCCCCTGTTTCTTGGGTCACAAAAAATCTGCTACAAAACACAAGAGCCCTGACTGACCACTTGGAGCCTTGGCCTGCCCCATGTTATGTTCACAGTGCAGGTGATTGGAACCCAGGCTTTGTGATTTCCTGGTTTGGGGACAGTGTACTGTACTCAGCCTACTAAAGACATTCTCATTCCAAAGACCATAGGTGGCAGGGCCAAGGCACCCGTGCCTATGAACCCACCTCCACACCCAGGGCAAACATTGCTAATCAATCTTGGCATAATTTTTTTTCCTGGGCAGACATGGAAAATGAGATTAATGGCTAACAGAGTTAATGAAACAAAGAGCAGAAACTCAGACCTTAGGGGTGAAGTGGCTCTTGAACAGTCACCCGTGTAGTTCCTGAGTTATGTGGGTTGGCAGGGCGGCTCAGTCTCCAATATTAGGGAAGGGTATTGAATCTTTCCCTTCTGTTGCTCCTGCTGCTGTACTGTAGTTAAGAAAGAAAGCCTTGGGCTGGGAAGGTGGCTCAGTGGTAGAGCGCTTGCCTTGCATGCATGAGGCCCTGGGTTTGATTCCTCAGCACCACATAAGCAAAAAGAAAAAAAGCCAGAAGTGGTGCTGTGGCTCAAGTGGTAGAGTGCTAGCCTTGAGCTGAAGAGCTGAGGGACAGAACCCAGGCCCAGAGTTCAGGCCCCATGACCGGACCCCCCAAAAAAAGAAAGAAAGAAAGAAAGAAAGAAGGCCTTGCTGGGGACTGGCAGCTCAGGCCTATAATCCCAGCAACTCAGAAGGCCAAGATTTGAAGATTGAGGTTCAAAGCCAGCCTGGGCAGGAAAAGCCTGTGAGATTCCTATCTCAAAATGGGCGCGTATGTGCATGCGCGTGTGCACGCACACACACACTGAAAAAAAAGGATATCAGTATTTGATATCCTTTCTTTTCTTTTTTTTTGCCAGTCCTGGGCTTGAACTCAGAGCCTGGGTGTTGTCTCTGAGGTTTTTCTCAAAGCTGGCACTCTACCTTTTGAACCCCAGCTTCACTTCTGGTGTTTTGGTTGTTCATTGGAGTCTCCTACTTACCTGCCCTGGGGCTGGCTTTGAACCATGATCCTCAGATCCCAACCTCCTGAGTAGCTGGGATGACAGGCGTGAGCCACCAATGCCCAGCTCATTGTCATTTTGGTGTTGGAAAATACTCTTTATTTTCAGATCCAGAAACTCAGTACTTACCAGGTGGAGCCTGAGACCCCGGCCAGGTACATGATGGCGTCCAATAGGCCGAGTTCTTTCAACTCACTCAGGACCCCGAGAAAGCCGATGTGTGCACGCATTCCGCCGCCTGAACCCAAAACGGCGATAAGTGGAGCCTGGGCATTGGGGCAGAAGGTGGTGAGAGGTTAAGGACTCAGGTGGGAGTCTAAGCCCTCCCCTTCAGTGCTTGGGCTCCTGGTGCCCCCTGCCCTCACCCTGGCTCAGCTGAGGCTTCAGATCCTGGGGTACAATGGAGGAACCCCCAAGGTTATCTTCTGCCATCCCTCACCTGAGTGGCCTGGATGCCCTGGACTTCCAGAGCTTTTAACACCCAGGGGTTGCGTTTCTCCACACACGCCTTCTCTTGTTTCACGCCCTCCTGAGCGAGGCCATCTTGAGGACTTCCAAAGGCAGAACATAAAACAAAATCCAGACAATGCGCAGTGAGAGGAAGAATAAAAATACAGCATGTGTCCAGTGGCACCTGCCATTCAGGGGGTGCTAGTGGTTCATGCCTCTCATCCTAACCATTTGGGAGGTTGAGCTGGGAAGGATCCCATTTGGAGGCCAGCCCAGGCAAACCTATGAGATCCCCAGCCCTTCTCCATCATAAGAAACTCTGGTGCCAGGCCAACCCAAGCAGAAAAGTCCATTAGATTCTGTCTCAATGGAGAAGCTGGGCATGGTGGTATATGCCTGTCATCCCGGCTATGATAGGCAGCTTCAAATAGGTGGGTTGTGGTCCAAGACAAAAACTAAGACTGTATCTCAAAATAACCCGTGCAAAAAAATGGCAGGAATTTGGCTCCGCAGAAGAGCACCTGCCTAATAAGCATGAGGCTCTGAGTTCAAACCCCACTACCTCCTGTAAAAAATTGGGCAAGCGGGAAGTCAGTGGCTCACGCCTATAATCCCAGGTACTCAGCTAGTCAGGAATTTGAGATCTGAGAATAGGGGCTCCAGATCAGCCCAGGCAGGAAAATCCATGAGACTCTTATCTCCAATTAACCAACAAAAAGCCAGAAGTAGAGGTATGGTTCAAGTAGTAGAGCACTAGATTTGAATGAAAAAGCTCAAGGATAGCATCCGGGCCCTGAGTTCAAGACTCAGGCCCCACGTGCACATTCACGCATGCACACACACACACACACAATCATACATTTAGCTTACTTTGTGTTTTCGGCCATCAGTGATTTGGAGGATGGCTCGTGGCTCATCTTCCAAATCTCCTTCGCTTATTCTACTTCAAATGTTGCCCCTCCTGGCTGCAATCAAGCAGATAATTATTTGGGTCAGCTCAAGCCTGAGCTGGGGCCTGCTTGAAGGCCTTGGGCTTGTTTTCTGGAAACCCATTGGTAGAACTGGCTGTTTGGTTTCTTGGAATTTGGATCAACTGTGTTCTTTGTCATTCTTTTCACCTGACCTCTTCCCCTCCCATCCCAGAGACCGTGGCTCCCCTCAAATTTAGCTCTGGTTTCATAGCCATCTCAGGGATCGAGGCCAAACCAGGGGACAATGGCCAATGCTGACAATATCATCCAGCCCTGATGTGTGCCCTTTCCCTCCTCCCCATGAGGCATGATTCCTGGGTGGGCACTGGGTACAGGGAGGTTGTCTCTGTGACCAGATGCCAAGCAATGGAGAATGGTGACTTCTTCTAGGGTTGGCTGTGATCCCCCAGATTAATCTTTTCTCTGGGGCCATTGCTAGGAGACTGGCTGAGGGAGAGACTCCCCCTGACAATGGGACATCTCTAGACTTCCCAGGTGTTCAGTCCACTATCTGCTCTTCCTCCCCTCTCTGCAAGGATTTGGGATAAAAGAGCTGAAATTCTGCAAGGCAGAATATACTCTGGAGAAGAAGTTACAATTGTTGGTAAGCAGCAGGGGAGAAAGCGATTCACACTCCCTACACACATCTTGCAGAATACTGGCATTCATGCTTGGGCCAGCCACCCAGGAGGCTGAGATCTGAGGATCACAGTTCAAAGCCAGCTCAGACAGGAAAGTCCATGAGACTCTTATCTCCAATAAGCCACCTAAATACCAGAAGTGGAGCTATGGCTCACATGGAGCTCCAGGCTTGGGATGGGAGGGGGGATGGGGAGGGAGATAAAGGGGGAAACCATGAGGCTCTGAGTTCAAGTTCCATTATTTGCACAAGCAAAAGCAAAAGCAAAAAAGCCATATTCTAAAATTGCTTTTATTCTATTTATCCACCTATCCCTTCCTACAGCAGTACCTGTTTAGAATGGCACCCCCTAATATCTTCTTGATCCCACCCCCTCCCCCGGCCTCCCGCCTTGTCCCCCAAAAGGGGACAAGTCTGAAGTTGGAAGGAGACTGTCTGAAGTTTGTGCCTGCATCAGAGCTCCAAGAACAGGACCAGGCAGGAGGGAATTGGTTGAGAAGATCTGGCTACTTACGATGCTGGGGGTCTCCTGCAGTCCTGAATGGGTCAGAAGGCAGAGACAGGAAGGAGCAGCTACGAGCAGTCTCGAGGAGCGCTAAGGTGTAGGTCTCTTCAGGTGTGTGGGCCAGTCCTGTCAAGTGCCCTTTATATAGGGCGTTTAAAGGAAGTGGCTGGGAACCCAGCCCGTGGGGAGGGGGAGAGGTTGGTGTAAGATTAGTTTATTTTTTAATTATTTTTTATCACCTCTAGCACAAGCTGGGCCTTTGGGTGTGGCTTGTGGGAAGTGTCTACCTTACGTCCTTTACATGGACGTAAACACATGCGTGTTTAGCAGGCACAGCCTTGGGTTTAATTCTGAGCCCCAACCACAACATCATGCAATGAGTGGCACATCAAAATGATCTTGCTTGTGTGTGTGTGTGTGTGTGTGTGTGTGTGTGGTGCTGGTCCTAGGGCTTGAACTCAGGGCACTGTCCCTAAGGGTTCTTTTGTTTTTATTGTTTTTATGGGAGGGGGGGTCCATCAGTGGTGGGGTTTAAACTCAGGGCCTGGGCACTGTCCCTGAGCTTTTTGCTCAAGGCTAGCATTATACTACTTGAGCCAAAGCTCTACTTCTGGCTTTTTTTCCCTTTTTGGTCGGTCGTAGGGTTTGAACTCTGGGCCTGGGCATTGTCCCTCTGCTCTTTACCTCAAGGCAAGCACTCTACCACTTGAGCCACAGCGCCACTTCCGGTTTTCTAATGGCTTTTTGGAGATAAGAGTCTCATGGAGTTTCCTGCCCAGGCTGGCTTTGAACCGCGTTCTTCCGACCTCAGCTTCCAGAATAGCTAGGATGACAGGTGTGAGCCATGGGCATCGGGCAGGTTTTTTTTTTTTTTAATATATGTTTTTATTGTAAAGATACTGTACAGAGAGTTACAGTTACATGAGCAAGGTAATGAGTCCATTTCCTATAAAGCATTGTTACCCCTTCCTTTGTTTTTCCCCTACCATCCCTTTCCTCCTCCCCACCTCCCCTCCTCCTTTTTTTTTTTTAAATTGGAGATAAGTGTCTGATGGACTTTCCTGCCCCAGCTGGCTTCAAACTATGATCCTCAGATTTCAGCCTCCTGAGTAGCTGATTATGGGCATGAACTACTGGTACCTGGCTCATCATGTTTTCTATTTCTGTTCCCAATCTCTCCATGTCATCTCTTCACCCCTTCCCTTCAAGTTTCTTTCCTGATACAGGATACCTGCCAGACTTCAGGAATTTATTACATAGAGTTTTGACCAAGGTGCTTTAAAGAAAAATCCAATTTCAAAACCATACCTTGTGGATTTTCATAGGTGCACTGTAGTTCTGAGTTACTAGAAATTGGTTTACATCATGTGAGCTGATATGCATTTTCCTGCCTTAAAATCTGCCTACCCTGGAGAAAACTATGTCCAAACAGGAAGATAAAAAGCTAGAATACAGAAGGCTCAGATCTGAAGATTGCAGTTCAAAGCCAGCCCCGGCAGGAAAGGCCATGGGCCTCTCCAATTAACCATCAAAAGTCCAGAGCTGTGGCTCAAGTGGCAGAACACTGACTGGATTGCATTCTGGGAACTGCCCATCAAGTGTCTGCATTACTGCACGGAAAACATCTGCATCTTGAGCATGCGCAGTTGGTCTTCAATGGCTGTCTCTTTGGAAGTGTAAACGGATGGATTGCCAGGGTCTGTGGTATACTTTTATGGTTTTGGAAGCGTCCAGTATCTGCTTAGTTCCTCTGTCCTCTTTCCTCCCTTCCCTCCCCTCCTCCTTTCAATGTCTCCGTTTTGTTTTCCTGTCTTCAATGGAACCCTGAGAATAGGTGGACAAGTACCACCAACCCCCTAATTTCAGTTCAACTCCTTCATTGGAAAAACATGATCAAAATGACTAGGATGTCCAAACAGAACAACGTGGAATCCAGCCAGGAGCCGCCAGTACCGGGTAAAGAAACATCAATACCACGTGTGCTCTTCCCCTTCACCAAAGGGCTCTCTCCTTTTTTGGAGGGGGGTGGGGAGGGAGGGAGAGGGAAGACTGCCCTGGAACTCATGATCCTCTTGCTTCCACCTCCTGGGTGCTGGGATTAATGAAGTGCATCACCACACCTGGCCTTTCTTCTTAAGACTTTCATTCTGCTCCCTTTCCTTTTCTTCACCACACCTGGCCTTTCTTCTTAAGACTTTCATTCTGCTCCCTTTCCTTTTCTCTCTCCTCTCTCTTCCTCCCTCCTCCTTATTCTGGCCCAAATGCAGCTTGGAAATGTTTGTCACAGGAGAAAGAGCTGGCCTCAAGATGGGACATCTATACCATGGAATATCATACAGCCATAAAGAAGATGTTACATCATTGACAGATGGATACAGTGGAAGATCATCATCATGAGATAAAGCCAAATACTGCATAGATTCACTCATTTGTGAAATCTAGACCTAAAAGACATTTACAGGTATACTAATTATCTATATTATCTATCTATCTATCTATCTATCTATCTATCTATCTATCTATCTATCTATCTATCTATCTATCTATCTATCCCGATCTACAGACCTGTAGATCTAACTGTGGCCTATTTGGGGGAGATGAAGGGGAAGGGAGAGGACCAAAGGAGAGGATAAGTGAAGTTCATATTTACATAGGGGCACATTAATTTATATTCATGTACGGAAATAGGACAATGAAACCTGTGGATTGTTTGTCATGGGGATTTTTTTCTCTATTACTTTTTAGCACTCTACCACTTGAGCCACAGCTCCACAGTTCACTGGAGATGAGAGTCTCGTGGACGTTCCTTCCTGGGCTGGAATTGAATGATGATTCTCAGATCTCAGTCTCCTGAGTAGCTGGGATGACAGGTGTGAGTCACCAGAGTCCAGCTGGGATTATTTTAAGGAAGGGGAAGGGAATGAGGAAGCCTGATGATGGGATAACAGATGCATGTATAGAAATATCACCATGACCCGTGGGCCTCCCGCCATGCCTAATAAATGATTTTTCTTTTTCCTATTTCTGTCACGAGAGAAGTCTGCGGCCCAACTCCATTTTCTACACCTTCCCTTCCCACACTCCCCCCCGCCCCGCCCATAGCCAAGGTCACCTAAAAGATTACCCCAAACCAACGACTTCTGAAGAGTTCCTAGCAAAACTAGAACTAAGAAGAAATGATACCCAACCGTCAAAGGACTTCTCTAGAAATCCTTGCAAAATTCTAACAGGGTAATTTAAACAAACCCAAGGCTCAACTGTAGAGTTTCTCAGCAACTCATTGCAAAACCAGCATTAAGATAAGAAAAGGTCAGATGCTGGCCCTGAACACAGGCACGTTGGCCAAGCACCAGAAATAACGTCTTCTGCAGAAAATGGGGCCCAAGTAACACATGCCTCTGCTCCCCTTCCTATAAAACCTCCAAGAGGGACCTGGGGTGAGGGTGGGGTGACCAGACCTTCTTGTCTGCCCTTTGTTACCTCTGGTGCCTCCTTTTGGATGTTCAGAGACAGCGACTGTGTCTATGTGTGCCCAATCTACCGCATGCTTTTGCCATAAACTCTGTCTGGTTGTCAACTTTGTGCCACCAGATACCACTAAGTGGAGTGCTAGGGAGAGCTGGGGAATTGGGGTTGAGAGCTGTTAATAGTAAGGCCGTAGTACAGTGCTGATATCTGTCTGTCTGCCCCTCCTCTCTCTGTACACAACTCCTCAGCACACAGCTCCTCTTGTCTCTAGCAAGGGAGCCCCGGGGGATGACTGTGGATACAAGCTGGAATGATCTGCCAGCTGTCAGACCACTACTGAAGGCTCAGGTCACAATGCCCCTGTATTTAAAAACATCCTTGGATTCAGATGCCAGGCTCACGTCCGTAATCCCAGCTACTGAGGAGTCTGAGATCTGAGGATTGTAGTTTGAAGCCGGCCCTAGCAGGAAAGTCTGTGAGATTCTTATGACTCAAGTGGCAGAGTGTCTGCCAGCCTGGAGCAAAAAAACAAAAGCTCAAGGATAGTGCCCAGGCCCTGAGTTCAAGACCCAGGACTGGCACATGCACACGTGCGCGCGTGCACACACACACACACAGTTGGTCTTGAAGGGTAAGGAGAGAAGTTAGAGGAGTCCGCTTACTCAGAACACATGATGATTAATGCGAGTGGCACCATTTTCCAGGAAAGGATTGCAGAAAAATTGATGGGGACATTCTTAAGGTGTTACTCAAGTATAAAACCGGCTTGTTTTTCCATTCTAAGACTCTTGAACTCAAGGCCTCTTAGTCATGCTCAAAAGCAAACTACTTCAGCTACACCCCCAATCCTGTTTTATTTTTAAGATAAGTTCCCCCCCCCCCAGGGCTGGCATTAGACTGCAATCCCCCTATCTCCACCCTCCACATCGCTGGCACGCATCCCCATGCCCACCCAGGAAACTAGTGATTCTTATAGGCAACTACAGGCAAAAGTGAAGTTGGAGGTTGATCTTCCATGAACTACCCAAACAAAGCCAGAAGTGAAGTGGAGCTGTGGCACAAATGGTAGAGTGCCAGCCTTGAGTGGAAAAAAGCTCAGGGTCAGTGCCTAGGCTTTAGTACAAGCCCCAGGACCAGCACGCACGCGCGTGCACGTGCGCGCGCGCACACACACACACACACACACACACACACACACACACACACACGGTCTCGAGTGAATTAAACCTTTCTCCTTTGACCTTATTCTGCATGCTAGTGTATTACTTCACACCTTGGTACCAACTAGTCCAAGCCCTGATGGCCACCCAAATGGTGAGCCCGTCAAACCCACCTGTGCTTCTAAACTCACACAATACCGTGCCACACCTTTGGCCACGCACCTGGAAGCCAGCCATGTTCCAGGGATTTTACCCACCAAGCTCAGACACCCCTGCGTGCCACCCCCTACCATCCCTGACTTTTGCTTCCTCCCAAACCCACAGGAGGTGTTCTGCCCACTTGGAAGCCATAGTTCAGCTTCTTATGTCAGATACTGATGTTGCTGCTTCCTTCCTCAAAAGGCCCTGGCCTTGGGTGGCAGCAAACTGCAGGCAAGGACATCTGCCTGGCAAGGAGTGACATCCTGTCAACTGGCCAGAAGGTTGAGATCTAAGGATTGGGGTTCGAAGCCAGCCTGGGCAGGCAAGTCCGTGAGACTCTGATCTCCAATGAACCACCAGAAAACTGGAAGTGGCGCTGTGGCTCAAAGTGGTAGAGCATTCACCTTGATGGAGAAAGCTCAGGGATAGTGCCCAGGCTCCTAGTTCAAGCCCCACAACAAAGAAAGGAAGAAAGAAAGAGAGGGCTGGGAAGGTGGCTCAGTGGTAGAGCATTTGCCTTGCATGCATGAGGCCCTGGGTTCGATTCCTTAGCACCACATAAGCAAAAAGAAAAAAAGCAGGGAAGTGGCGCTGTGGCTCAAGTGGTAGAGTGCTAGCCTTGAGCTGAAGAGCTGAGGGACAGCGCCCAGGCCGAGTTCAAGCCCCACAACCGGACCAATAAAAAAAAAAAGAAAGAGAGAGAGAGCGAAAGGAAGGAAGGAAGGAAGAGGAAGAAGGAGGAAGAAGGGAGGAGGAAGGTAGGAAGAGAAGAGGAGGAGGAGGAAGAGGAAGAAGTAGTGCCCAATGTGGCTCTGGCACTTTCTGGGCCTCTGGCAGGTGTTGATAAGGGTTAGGGAGAGGGCATGACAGCATAGCCTGCAGAATCACATTTCCAGGAAGTGGCCACACTCCCACCTCTATCTTCAGCACCTGCCCCCCCACCCTAAGGTTAGGAACCAAGGCCAAATCTCAGTTCACCCCAGGCTAGACTAGAGGTCAGTGCCGCATTCTCACAGATAATATTCCTCCTGATCTGGGTAGCTTTCTCAGGAATCAGGGGCAGAGTTAATCAAGTGATGGGCATCTCTTCCCATCATTTCCCAGGAGCCTCCAGGAGACACCTCATCATATGAGTCATTTCAGAATGCTGTGTGATGGGGGGGTGCATTTCCTGGGGTACCCCATCTACAACCCCAGCTCCACCACGGCACACCTTAACAGAGAACTGATAATGGGGCCCCGGCCCATCACCCACACACAACAGACCACATGACCCCTTCCTGTGGGACAAGGAACCAGCTGTGACTGTCTGTGGCCACACCAACTCCTGGCTTGCCACTGCCAAGGCTGAGGACACTGAGCGTAGCTTGTCCCTGTGCCCCAGTGTCCCCATGTGTTTGAGTGAGAATACAGGCGTGAGACGATGGCTGGGCTGGGAGAATCCCACAAGTCCCCCATCTCCTCACTCCTGTCTCATCTTCCCGCCAGTGAGTGGCCAGAAGCCAGCACAAATCCCAGAGATGCCATTACGGGGAAACAAGCTTTTCTAGAAGATTACTCTCCCTTGTACCAAGAGATGTCACACGGCACTGGGCAGATTCCCCACATCTCCATCTTACGTACCTCACCCACCCTGTGCTGGGCTGTGTGTGGCCCTCACAGGCCACACCCACAGGAGGACAGGGCCCCACTCCCAGAGCTCCCAAAGTAGTAGAGGTGGAAGGTTCTGGAAGAAGTGAAGGGACGCTGCGGGTGATTAGCAGTGATTTATTGAGGACACAAGGGAACGCCCACCAGGCCCAGGCCAGTGCAAAGCTCACACTCAGTAGAAACCCTCAGGATCGGAGTCCGAGTCGGTGCCTAGCTGGTTCTGGATCTGACTCTGCTTTCGGTACAGGGCGGCCACCTGCAGAGTGCAGGGATGGTGGGGTGTGTGTGTGGGCGGGTGTTCAGCCAGGCCCTCCCCCCAGCCCAGCCCAGCCACCCTCCCGCCCCTCACCTGGGTGCTGGTGGTGGCCTGCTCAGGCTCCTTGTCTTCGCGGACGCGGACGAAGCGAGGGAAGCGCAGGGAGATGCCCTTCTCACTGTCCACCTGTGGGAGGTGCCAGTGTTGGGGGGGGGGCTCCACAGGGGCCGCCCAGTCTCCTCATGCCCAGTCTACCCCAGCCTCAGTTTCCTGATCTGTACCATGAGGGCTGAGCGATGGGGCGGAAGGACTGAAGAGGGCGTGTGGAGAGCAGTGGCTCCTTGTTTGGAATCCCAGCTACTCTAGTGGCTGAGACAGTGAGGACCGTGGTTCGAGGTTGGCCTCAGCAAGCCATCGGCAAGGCCTCCTCTCAAGCGCTAAGCTAGACCGCGGTCCGGGCAGAGTCACTCACCAGGCCTCGGGCGGCGGGGTAGATGGGGGAGAGGGAGAGGTCCGCACACTTCACCTCCCACACGGCACGGGGGTCCAGCCAGTGATCAGGAGCCACAGCGCCGTCGGCGCGCACATAGGGGCGCGGGGTAGGCAGCACCAGCTCCTGCGGTGAGAGGGGGGTCACAGGAAGGGGGCAGGTCTCACACCCCAGGGCTGGGGTGGGAGAGGGGGAGGGTACGGGAAGAGGGCGAAGAGGGCGGCAGGCCTTAAAGTGGCAATGCTGGGCACAAGAGGAGGCGGTGAGAGGAGGAACACAGTGGTGAGGCCCTGCAGGGCACCCTTCCCTGGGCGTTGCCCGGTGATACTTGGCTTGTGTACCCTGGCAGCCCACTGTGCCTGTGGAGCCCCAGACCGTGGAGGTGGAGGGGGGGTTGACTCACCTGGAGGCCCTGGTAGTGTGCGTCCAGCTCTTCGTCGCTGAAGCCGGTCCCAAGCTGCGGAGGGCACAGATGGGTAAGGACGTGGCTGGGTGAGGCATGGGGTGAGGGGGCAGGTAGGGAGGACGTGGGTGGATAAGGGAGGTGGACGCATCCTTCACTTGCCTCACCCCTGTGGACACAACACTAGGAAAGGGGAGCCCTTCGCGTGGAGGAGAGGAGCTGATCGGTCTGCATGACAGGAAGTCCCCCTAGGAGTCTAAACTATGTTCCCTCCCACTTCCGCAGGGAGCATCCAGCCCCCAGCACCTTGCATATGGCCTGCAGCTCCTCGCTGTCCTCGTCGTAGGTGGCCAGCAGGAAGCCCCCATAGCGGCCAGCCCGCTTCCCCCGGCCCAAGTAGGCACCAATCACCACGAGGTCCAGGGTGTCCCCCACACCATCCAGGTAGTCCTTCTTCAGCTGGGGAGGGCAATGGGGGGGAGGAGTGAGGTGCGCTGCCCCAGGAGGGGACATGGCCCTGGGGGACTGGGGAATCATCCCTGTTTTGCTTTTGTTGCCTTGCTTGGTATCCCGGGCTGACTTGGAACTTGAGATTCTCAGCCTCTGCCTCTCCAGTGCTGGGATTATAGGAGAGCCCCACGGTGCCTGGCGGGCATCACCTGGATGCTCTCTCTCCCTCCCTCCACTGTGCCAGGCAGGGGCTGTGGGTGTGAGATTGGGTAGTGGGTGCGCAGCTGCACAGGCTCCAGGGGCCATCCCCGGCCCAAGGAAAAACGTGAGGCAGGGTGTGGACCCAAGGCGGCCTCTGGTCCACAGGACAGGGGAGACATAAAGGCCCAGCGGCCCTGCATGCCCCTCACCCTTCCCCACTGACACCTGTGCCTCACCCCAGGGTGACTGGACGACCACTGCAGAGACAACTGCACCCAGGGCCTATGTGAAGGATGCTGCTGATGCCCCAAAACTTCTAGAAAATTCTTATGTCTCCTGGTGGTCCAGACCCTGCTGGCTTCCAGCCTGATGGCCTGCTGGGACGTGGCCAGCAGAGACCAGCAGAAACGCAGAGACCCCAGGCCCTCGCTGGCCCATGAGCAGGCAGCATGGGGTCACCTTAAGCCAGTTGTGCGAGCGCTTGGCGATCTCGTAGGTGGCATCCACATCCAGCGTCTTCACCATGAGTCCCTCGCATGAGTCTACAAGGGACAGGTAGCATGACCCACTATGCCCTGGGGCTGGGTTGGGGTGGGGGGGGTGGCAGAGGGGTTCCCCACCTTTCACTGACTGCTCCAGGAACTCGGCGATCTGCTCCGTGTCCTTGGTGTCTAAGGAGGTGGCGAAGACGAACTCGCCCTCTGTTTCCACAAAGTTGTCTCGGAGCAATTGCCGGCGCCGGGACAGCGGCTCCCGGACCAGGGACTACAGAGAGGACGGGCGGAGGGGAGGATGGACACGATGGCCATGACCACCAGGCTAGAATACATGCTCTGCCCCGACTCTGGGGCTGTGCTCTAAGCAAACCCTACAGCTGGGTGGGGTAGTGCACACCTATAGTCCTGGCACATTGGGAGGCTGAGGCAGGGAGTTCTCTACTTCCAGCCTGAGCTACATAGTGAGACTCTGTTGCCACTAAATAAACGCCCCCACCCCCACCCCAATCCTCCTTAAAAAAAGCCCACAGAAAAGCCGGGCGCCGGTGGCTCATGACTGTCATCCTAGCCATTCAGGAGGCTGAGATCTGAGGATGGCGGTTCAAAGCCAGCCCAGGCAGGAATGACCGTGAGACTCTTATCTCCAATGAGCCACCAGAAAACCCAGTGTGCCAAGCTCGGCCCCTGTGGCTTCAGCTCTGGGGAACGGAGCCCTGGCTTCTCTGACAGTCGCCACTGGCCTCTCCCAAGCCATCCGTCCATACTCACAGCAGCCCAGCCCAGTTGCAGCGCTGCCACTCAGTAAGACAAGGGAGGAGACCAGAAAACCAGGGGAGGAGCCTCATCTTCTGGCTCCGCCCCCTGCCCCCTAGCCCTGCCCCAGCCTGGGTGCTCACCTCACCATTGAGATAGATGAGGTCGAAGGCGTACAAGCACACCTGCACCTGAATCTCTGACGCTTCCACCTCCTGCATGGGGCAGAATAGAGGTCATGAGTGGAGACGTGAGGTGCTCTGCTGAGTCCCGGCCCACCATGTCTTAGCTAAGGGTGCACACCAGGCAGAGCTGGGACACAGCTGGCCCTAGGTCTGACAAATTAGGACGGCTCCGATAATCCTACCTTCACTCCCTCACCAGCCCCCTTCATTCAGACATAAAGGGGAACCTGCTGGGGTACAGATTGTAGGGGCTCCTGGGTGTACCTTTCACAGTAAAAGGACAGAGATGCAGAAGAGACCTGTGCCCTTTCTCATTGGGATGCTGGGATTAGAATATGAGGGCTGTAGCATTAGCAGCCACTTTGTCAAAGGAAGGACGTCTGCATGCAGACCAACATTCTCCTTCTAGGACGTGGGAACTGGAGGAAACAGACCGTGTGGGGCTGTGACAGGCAGAGAACAAGCTGACCGTACCTTGCGTTTGCGGGTAGTGAGCACCTGGAATGGCTGGATCTGCTTCTTTTCCCGGTCCCATGCTACTGCCTCGGTGTCCAGAATGAAAGACATGACCGAAGGGAGTTTAATCTGCATGGTGAAGGAGGAGACCCAGCTGGGGGCGTTGCAGGATAACCGAGAGATAGAAGGGAAGCCACCATTTCTCCTGCAATCCCCACAATTCCCTGACAAAGCAGGTGACATCAAGAGCCATGCACGATCACCCCTGCCCAGGGCTGGACATCGGAGCCTCTGTGCCACCGTGGCCTGGCTCGACTATCCCCCCTCTCCTCAGCCTGTGTCTCATGGTGCCTGCCCTCCTTCCTATTTCCTTTGTGTAAGTCAGCTTTCCCTCCACGGGCCCATGCAGCAGCGGGGACTCCTGCCTGAGACAGCGTGCAGGAATTTCTGCACAGGCAAGTGCCTAAGCATATGCTACTTCTGGTGCGTGGAGGGCAGAGGGGACAGGATGCTGGGCTGAGGCAGGAGACACTGGTGTGTGTGTGCCAGTCCTGGGGCTTCAACCCAGGACCTGGATACTATGAGTTTTTGTGTTTAAACAGCTGGTGTTCTGCCACTTGAGCCACGGCTCCACTCCAGCTTTGTTGGTGCTTTATTGGAGATAAAGAGTCTTGAGGACTCTCCTGCCTAGGCTGGCTTTGAACTTGATCCTCAGATCTCAGCTTCCTGAATAGCTAGCATTACAAGCGTGAGCACCAGCACCTGGTTGAGAAGACACTTCTAGGTGACGAGACCACATGGTGATTCAACTTGTCAGAACTCAGCAAACCACGCACCACGCTCGCTAAGTCAGAACCCTTACACCCCACCGCACCCCGTGTGGCGCCTGCACCAGGCACAATTCCTTGTGTGCAGGAAGCCATTGCCTAACTGATTAAGGGCAGACAAAGGGACACAGGAACTTTCCAGAGTGGCCCAGGGCCCTTTGGGTGCAGAGAAAGCTCCAGCTCCACGCCCAGCCCTGTCCACCCCGCCTGTGGCTTCTGAGACACCAGGTCCTGTCCCGTCCCATCCATGCCCCCAGCCTCAGCTGCACAGATGGCCACAGGACCCCAAGTGGGGAGTCCGTGGGCAGGGGGACAGCTAAGAAAGAGTTCTTCCCCACCAGAGCACAGGTTGGGATAGGTCAGCCAGGGGTGGTGGAGGCCACAGCGGATTGGGTGCAGGGGACGCTGGTGCCACGCTCTGCCAGCCTTCGGATGTAGAGAGTGAGTCACATCTGCTCACGCTGCAGCTAACCCCGCCCTTCATGTGGAGGTGTGTGGGGGGGAGGATCCCACACTGCCCTGGCAGTGGAGGGGAGCGGGGGCGTAGAGGATCTTGCACCTTGGGGATACGGCTGATGATGTCGGGGTACCTCCCCGTGTTGTCCTCCTGGTTTCTGCTGAAGATCTTCACCTCCCCGCCTTCCTCGAAGTGGATCTGCCATGGCATGGGCAGGAGGAAGGAATCAGAGCCGCACTCCCCCACGCAGCTCTCCTTCGGTCCCTTCCATCCCACCACCACTGCTCAAAGACTCTGGAATGCTCCAGAGGAGGAATCTGGTGAATCTGCTGCATACTTGCGCCCTCTGCCCGTCATATTTGTACTCGCAGGTGAAGGCTGCCTCGTCGAAGCGTTTCAGGACCTCGGCGACACCTCGAGTGGGGTGGGCCAGCATGGGTTTCAGCGGGACTCCTGGGAGGGGAGGGAGGCAAGTTAGGGGAGACTGAGGCAGGGGGAAGGGTAGGCAGTCCCCACGGCCCTGCCTCGCCCGGTGGCACAGTGTTGTGTGTCTGCTTCCCACCCGGAAGGACAAAAGTCAGCACCCTCGGGGAAGTAGATCTAAGACATCCACACTGCCCCCCACCCCGGGGATGGCTGGGCACAGCTCTGCACAATGGGCCCTGGACACCTATGGTGTGTCACAGGCTATGGACCAGTCCGCTGCCTTTTGGGGCATCTGAGTATCAGAGGGTCCCAGTGAGGGGGGAGGGGGTACCTGGACTCAGCTTGCAGTGCTCCGGGAGCCGCTCCAGGCCATGTTCCAGTAGCACGGGTACAATGCGGTCCAGGTCGGGCACCTCGCTGGGGGGGGAGGGGGAGGGTACACACTGCAGAGCCTGCACAGCTTTGCTGGTACCCGTGGCAAGGGCCACTGCCAGGGTGTTTGTGGGACACCCGCCCGCCTCTGTCAGCTGCTGGAGACCATTTCCCAGTGACTTCATTTCACACTTGCCCCCTCCCTGCTGCCCTCATGCCTTCACTGTCAAATCCTGGCCAAGGCCTTGTCAGCAGCCTTGCGCTTGGTGCCAGTCCTGTCTAGATTGCCCTCTTGCTCTCTGCCAGCCGGCCGTGGCATCGCTACTGTGGGCCAGCCGCTGTCCATTGCTCCCCGCTGTGTCTCACCAGAACGTCTGCTTCAGGACCAGGGCCTGCTCTTCCAGCCATGTCTTTCGGGCCTCCGCCGTCTTGCCCTTCCCAGCATCCACCACAGCTGGGGGGAATCCTAAGGGACATTCACCATGGCTTAGGGCGGCTCAGCTGCCCCTGGCTCCTGGGAACCCATCAAGGTGTAGCCAGTGGACTCACCTTGGCCTGGGGGCGTGAGGCTCACAGCCTGGGCGAGGGCAGCCAGCACGGATTGCTCCGCCAGCCCAAGGCGCAGCCGTCCACTCAGGGACCTGGGAGAGAGCAGTGTGAGGTAGGCCAGCGGCCCCTTTGCAGACTTGCCTTGTTCTAGTTCCCCCCATCCAGTCCCCTCCTGACCCACTCAGCAATCACAACAATCCTGGGGGGGCTGGAGGTCAGTGACCCCATTCCACAGATGTGGAAACTGACCACTGGCCTTCCTGGGGGTAGACGCAGGCACCCCTAACACCAGCTGCTGAGACAGGGTGGGTGCAAGGAACTGAAATGTGGCCCCCCACTGGGTGTAGTGATACGACTCCACCTGGCCTGCACTAGTGGCTTAACATCCCTGCCTTCACCTGCTCTGGCAAGGGGGTAAAGAGCACAGAATGCACCTCAGAGCAGCTGGGGAAACTGATAGCATGGCCCACTTCACACAGGACACATCACCTAAAAATGCCCTTCCCATTGCCTAGCTCAGGTCAGGGCAGACATCACCTATCAATCACAGCATGCGTTACCCATCCACCACAGGACCCTTCTCCAGGCAAAGGACTGAGCTTCCCCCAATTTTTCTCCTTTGCTGGGTTCCTGTCTGGCCCCAAGGCCACCCCTCACTCGCCCCCCCCACCCCCACCACACACACACCTGGCGATGTACCGGGCTTCCGAGTGGCGGCAGGCAACGAAGAGACCTTTGATGATGTCTATCTTCTTGGCAGTGGACTGGAGAGGAGGGAGAGCGGGGACCTGGCAGTCATCTCACTGACGGGGTCCCGTCCTCCCTCCTCCCCACCCACGCTTCCTGACTCCCAGGATCTTTGTCTTGGGGTGATAAAAGAAATTCATATTCGTCGTCACCTTCCCTCCCTCATTGTGCAGTGAGCATGTGCCCAGTCCTGACACCAGCAGGTGCGCATGGAGCCCTGGGATCTCTGGAGCTCCCAGTGTTGAGAGTGGAGAGGGGTGAACCAGAGATCCAGTCCAGGAAGCAGATGTCCTGCCATGGCTGGCTTTAGGCCCCAAGATAATGGGGGTGCCGGGATGAGTCTCCTCCCACTTACAGCACTGCCGGTGAGGCCGGCAATGTCGCGGAACTTGTTGAAGACGCCGGCGGCGGAGAGCGGCGGTGGAGGCAGCATGAGCCGCTGTGTGCTGCGGCTGCTCTCGGCCACCAGCCCCACGTCGCCCTTCTCGGCTGCCTCGGCACGGATGGACTCCAGCTGCCGGCCTGGTGGGGGGAAGGTGAGGTGGGGGTGAGTAGGGCAGGGTGGCTGTGTGTCCATTCCCTGGTGTGTGTGTGGGGGGGAACCTCCTCCTGTTGCCAGGCGTCCGATGCCTGTGGTCAGGTGTGAGGCACACACGAGGGTGAGCGGGGAGGCGGTGGCGGCCATCACCAGCAGGGCAGGGGCGAGGTGGGGTCGCGGGGAGCAGGTGGGACTGGACCCTCATCCTAGCTGGCCAACAACACCCTCTCTGACTGCCAACCTCCACTGGGCCTCGACTGTCCTCACACCTGGCTCCACAGCGACTCTAGCAGTTGGAAGAAGAAGGGTCCTTGTTCCTGCCCTCCTTCCCCCTTCCCCTGCCAAATCTCAGCCTCTTACCCGCTTACCACCCCCCATTCCCCCACCTCCCACCCCTGGGTGCACCCACAGTGGTTTCACCTCCCTTCAAAGCCTTCACATCCCGCCGCTCCCTCCCCCACACCTGTGGCCTGGGCCACGGCCTTGAGGAGGACGCCGTCGCCGACGCCCAGCTCCAGGCCCTGCTGCGGAGGCCCCAGGCGGCTGAGGCTGAGGTAGAGGACGGGGAGCAGGTCTGGCGGCGACAGGGCCACCACAGAGCGCAGGAAGTTGCTCAGTGTCTCCACCATGCGGAGCCTAGAGGAGGGGACGGGGGGTGACCATGGGGGTCCTCAGGGGCAGAGTGGGGAGCAGAGCGAGCAGGGGAAAGGCAGGAAGGGCCTGGGCCATGGGCACCATCCCAGGGCCAAGAGCACTCCCCTCCCCGGGGTAGCTTCTCAGCAAGGTGCTGGGGATTGGCTCTGAGCTCATGCATGCGCACTGAGAGCCCCCCCCCACACACACACAATGAGGCTTGTCCTTATTAAAGCCCACTATGGATAGGAAAAAAAAAAAGAAGCACAGAAAGATGGTGAGAAAGCCTAGGCCTTCGGTCTGAGGTTCGAGAACACACTCACACACTGCTACACTGCTCGGGGAATTCAAGCATTTCTGGGGCCTGCCTAGAATGCCCACTCCATGGCCCCAGGCCTGGCCACTCACCGAGCGGACACCTCCTCGATCTTCTCAAATGTCCGCGCCACGGCCAGGAAAGGGACCCTGGGGAGGGAGACACGCAGAGCCCTTCGTATGGCGCCCCCCTGCCCACTCCCATCCCGCATTCGGGGGGTGGCCTCCCTGTACCCCATGCTGCCCTGTGCTGTCCCTTTCCACGTTGCCGCATCCCCAAACAGTGAGACACAGCACGGCTCCCCCCTTCCCCCCCCTGCCCCCACAACAATGGTGTCCCTGTGAGACCCCCGTATCCAGGGCGGGGTGAGAAGCAGGAAGCTCACTTCTGGCCAGGGTTCCAGCAGGCGTCCTCGACAGGGTGGTAGTTGTTCTTGCCAGGATTGTAGCTCATCGGGTCCAGGGGTCTGTGGGAGGCACAAGGGAGATGAGCCTGGGTAGATCTCTGAGTCAGAGAAGTTATTGTCCCACAAGTGTTTCCTGAGAACCCACTGAGTGCCAGGCTGCGATCAGGGACAAGGACAGTGCTGGGTCTTGTGTGTCGTCACCTCTGACTCCACGCATGTTCTTATAAAGTCCCCCTTCCTTGCTCGCCTCCAGCCCAAGCCCTCCAGCCTCAGGGCCTTTGTACTTGCTGCTCTTTTCCTCCAAACTCCCTCCCTTCTCTGCTTTAGATTGTTCACTCAAATCCAGCCTTTACCCAGTGAAGGCCTCTGGACCTTTTTGTTGAGACCTGCAACTTTCTACCTCCCCCACGCAGTTCCCTGCCCCAGCGCTTACTTCTAGAAAACAGGGACTCGCTGCTTACTTGTGTACAACCTCCAGCAGCTAAAGCCACTGCGTACCACCACATGGTTCTCAGTCATCAGTGGAATAAATAGATTTATCTCAACCAACTAAGGAGAAAGGCCTTATAAACACCTGACTGTCTGTGCCGTCCTCTCCCACTGCCCGGCCCTGGCTGAGGGGAAAATTCGGCCGGGGATGAACATCAGCCAGACTCCAGCCCTGGATGGAGACCCGCCAGCTGCCCCTCCCACCTCAGATGCTCATGATGGGGCCCATTACAGAAAAAGTTGGCCGAGCCCTGTGGGCAGTGGGACACAGGTACGGAAAAAGGGAGCACGCTAGGTCACACTCACCCCTTGGCCTCTTTCTTCGCAGCACCTGACTCCTCTCCTTTCACTTCCGCCTTGACCACGGGCTTCCGGGGGGCTGGGGAGGAAGCCAGGAAATGGTGGGTCCTTCCTCCCCACAGCCCTTCTCCATCCAGCACCCATCTTCTAGATGCACAGTTGGGGGTGGGGGGGGAGAGGACTCACTGAAGAAGCTGCTGAGCGTGCGGGGGGCTTTGGGAAGGGGCTTGCTTGGCTCCTCCTGCCGCTGCTTCTCCTCCCCTGGCTGCTTCTCTTCCTGCTGCTGCTTTTCCTTCCCTGGCTGCTTCTCTTCCTGCTGCTGCTTCTCCTCTCCTGGCTGCTTCTCCTCCTGCTGCTGCTTCTCCTCTCTTGGCTGCTTCTTCTTCCCTGGCTGCTTCTCTTTCTGCTGCTGCTTCTCCTCTCTTGGCTGCTTCTCCTCCCCTGGCTGCTTCTCTTCCTGCTGCTGCTTCTCCTCTTCTGGCCGCTTCCGCTTGCCCGCCGCCCTGGGCGCAGGGCTGCTTTCTGTCTTGGTTGGAATCCGGGCTTCTACAGGCAAAGGGCAGCCAGTGATGGCCTATTTCTACCTCTAGACTTTCTTAACCCCAAGGTCACCATGTCCTGTGGGCAGGAAACCTAGCCAGCTGTGCCCTCTCCTCTGGGCAGCCAGACACAATGCCTCCACAGCCCGATGCTCACACACTGCTAACCAAGGTGATGGCCGCGTTGGGCTTCAACACTTAGAACTGTTGGTTTAATGAACAAAGCTCCCCACAGAGCAGAGTCTCTAGGTTTCTAGCAGTTGCTGGCTGCACCCAAGCTGCCTGTGTGAGGACAACGCAGGGGTGGCAGACACCCCAGCGTGAGATGTAGGGTGACTACACTGTCTCTCAAGTTCTAGAACTCAGCCTGGGCACCACTGAACAATCAGTGCCAGGCTGGGTTGCAAACAACGTGCTGCAGGGTGAACAGCTCTCCTGTGACCCCATGCACGGCAATAAATGACACCCACAACCTAACCTACCACTGCCTCCATGTCTCCCTTAAACATGAACTTGTTTCAAAGGACTTTCCCCCCTCCCCCCCAAAGACATCTGAACACCAAATCAGGGCCATGGGACCGGGGCAAGGTGAGACACTCACTGGGGGGCTTCGGGGGTGTCGCGGGCTGGTCCTCTTCCTCTTCTCCTTTTGGTTTTACCACATTGGTCTCTGTAGGGCTGTCTCTTGGGGTCTCTGCTTCTGGAGATAAAGAGAAAAATGGGCAAAAACTCACTTGGCCACTCCACTAGCCTAGGGCATTTCTGTCTACTGTAGGGGGGCTCGACCTTCCACATCTCTGGGCTCCATACCTGCAGATTCCAGCAGCCATGGACAGATTTTAAATAAAAACAATGTCATCTGCCAGGTGCCTGTGCTCACACCTGTAATCCCAGCTACTCAGGAGGCTGAGATTTGAGGATTAAGGGTCAAAGCCAATCTGGGCAGGAAAGTCTGTGAAATTCTTCATCTCCAATTATCCACCAAAAATGCTGGAAATGGCACTGTGGTTCTAGTGATTGAGCACTCGCCTTGAGAACAAAAGGTCAGGGAGGGTGCCTAGGCCCCGAGTTCAAGTCCCAGGACTGGCACGGAGCATGTACTGAGTCAACACAGCATTCTGTGTATGTCCCTGGCACAGATACTAGAGACACCACTAATAATCCACATCAGCCACCCATGAGAGGGTATGCTGGCCATGTCACTACTTCACTTTATAGAAGGAAGACAAACTGTAAAGTTCTCTAAGATAACTGAAATAACTACAAAATGAGCTAAGTGTGGTGATGCACACCTGTAATCCCATCCACTCGAGAGGCAGAGACAGAGACACCTTGAGTATAAGGGTAGCCCGGGCCGGGCACCAGTGGCTCATCCCTGTAATCCTAGCTACTCAGGAGGCTGATATCTGAGGATCGCGGTTCAAAGCCAGCATGGGCAGGGAAGTCCATGAGACTCTTATCTCCAATAAACCACTAGAAAACTGGAAGTGGCACTGTGGCCCAAGCGGTAGAGTGCTCACCTTGAGCTGAAGAGCGCAGGGACAGTACCCACGCCCAGAGTTCAAGCCCTACGACCGACCAGAAAAAAAAGGGTAGCTCAGACAAAGTCTGAGAAGACTTCCCCTCCAAACAAAGGGCTGGGCACGTGGCTCAGCAGTAGAGCTCTTGCACAGCATGTGTGAGCCCATGGGTTTGATCCCCAGTTCCTCAGCAAAGACTGCCAACTCTTAACTTGGGAAAAGAATCACCTTGGTAGAAAGAGGATAACCACTATGCCCTATCCACCTGTGTATCAGTAACACCTAGAACCCCAACTCATAGTCCCATGTGATGTGTCACATAGGAAATCGAATTTCTAGCAGTGAAAACCTGCCGAGGGAAACCTGTGCTCACTGAAAACCTTTTACTAAACAAAAGCCCAGTTGTCCAACTGGGTTGTGAATGGCAAAAATCTCAGGCCTCAATGATAATGGATCTGGTTTTGGTTTTGCTTTGAACTCAGGGCCTGGGTGCTGTCCCTGAGCCTCTGTGCTCAAAGCTAGTGCTCTACCACTTGAGCCACAGCTCTACTTTCTTCTCTGAGTAGTTTACTGGAAAGAATAGTCTCACGGACTTTCCTGCCCAGGCTGACTTTGAATTGACATCTTCAGATCTCAGCCTCCTACTGAGTAGCTAGGATTATAGGCGTGAGCCACCGGCACCCATATCTGGTTCTTTATGGCTATTTCTCCTGTCACATGTGGGAGAAGCAGGAAAACTTTAGGGCAGACGCCCAGTTACTTCCTCAGAGGAAACCCAGTGACACCTGCTGGACACGATGTGAACTACAAGCTTAAGATACTTAAAACTTCCAGGACAGTTAGCCCAAAGTCCCTATGGGTTCCCAGTGCTCAGTCTCACCAACTACAAATGAAAGTTATCCAAAACCATAATGTATGCACTAAATGTGTGCAGCGTTTCCATTTTAGTTTTCCAAAGCAGGGTATCTACCTTATCCAGGTTGACCTCAAGTTTTGATCATGAGCAGGCACTACCTAGCCTGGCTTCAGACCTCTCTTCTGGTCACCATTCCCTAGTCAGCCCAGACCAACAGCTACCTCCTCAGTGCCCGCACTGCACCAGGGACAGTTTGTCACCCAGAGAGAACTAAGGCGCTTGAGTCCTGCATCATTTATGTAATGACTTGAGCACCCCTAAATCTAGACCCTGGGGAGTCCTGGGGCCAGCAATTCCATCACATTCCTCACGAAGAAGGGTCCTCTGCTGACTTCAGAAAACCCAAGATCGTGTGTTTTAAAACCCAAATTCGTGTGGGGCAGAATGTCATTGTGGGGCAGAATGTCTGATGATTTGTAAGACCTTAACAGTTCCATTAGGAGCTATTATACACCTGTATGATATGTCTATTTTGTTGCCAACCACAACTGCTTACTATTGGGATGTGCCCCAGGTGTTATACCAGGGGCACCAGGAAAATTTCACCAAGACACGAAGCCCCTCCCCGACCCCACCTGTGACCACAGCGCTCAGGATCCTCAGGTCTAGGGAAAAGTTTATTTAAAAAGGAACTGGAAACTGTCTAAAAGGAAATACTTCTAAGGGCTGAGAAGGTGGCTCAGTGGTAGAATGCTTGCCTAGCATGCGTGAAGCCCTGGGTTCGATTCCTCAGTACCACATACACACAAAAGAAAGCCAGAAATGGCAGTGTGGCTCAAGTGGTAGAGTGCTAGCCTTGAGCAAAAGCAGCTCAGGGATAGTGCCCAGGCCCTGAATTCAAGCCCCAGGATTGGCAAAAAAAGAAGAAAAAAAAAAAGGAAAATACTTCTAGAAGACAAAGGCAGGAAGCTGTGTGATGAACCCTGAATGGAGACTGACAACAGGCGAATCCAGACGCTTCCATGGTAGTGGAGGCTGTATAGGGATTTGAGATACCCACTGCCGACAGGCATCGAATCACAGGGCCCAAACCCTGTGTGCCCGCTCACACACATACGCCCTGTCCTCTGGTGCCTCACCGTCTCCCTCCTTCCTCTTCTTGGCTTCTCTGTCCTTGTCCTCCTCACTCTGATCTTCCAGAACATCCTGGATTGTCCGCTTTGGGAGCTGCTTCCGAGCTGGGAAGGCAGAGGGATCGGTGGCTGAGCTCAGAGGGCAGGCCAAGCTGAGGGGGACCCCCTCACCCACCCCCAAGTGGGCTGTGCCCTACCTGGCCCTCAGCCAGCCAACTATTCCAGCGCCAGCCTCAGCCTGCGAGCCCTGCTGGGAACTGGCTGGATGACCTCAGCAGGCTACTTAAGCCCTTGGTGCCCATCTCCCCTGCCTTTGAAGAATGGCAGTAACCCCGAATAATCGATGACAATGCCAATGCCACATGCTCTCTCAGCAGCGCCTGACTCCAGTGGGTGCTCCCTGTGCCCTAACTGCACCCCTGGAAAGGTCTCCAACAGACGGAAACCAAACCTCAATGACTGATGCAGGCTGGCTCCCTTGAACTTGGAGGGGGGGAGTGGAGACACTGAGGCATGCTTCATGGCCATGGCATCCTCACAAAGCAAGCTCTGGCTGCCTGTTGTAGCAGCTGGATGGCAACACACTCAAGGAAATAATCTGGCACGGGGACCCTCTGCTTCTGGGTGGCAGAAGCCATGAGGAAGCACCTCAAACAGATGCAGCCTGGGGTGAAGCGGGAGAACCTTTGCGGGCACGGATGATGCTGGCACCAGGGGGTAAAAGGGCAGAACTTTATAGCTGTGGAACAGCTAAACAGTTGCCAAGGGGACTAATGGGGTTCACAAAAGTGTCTGCGTCCAGAGCGTGACAGACTTCAGATCATGGGTTAGGCATGCTCCATGTGGGTCTACTTTCCAATGTGAGCTCAATTAAAATGACGTCACAGGAGAAAGCCGGTTCCTCAGCCATAGCGGGCCATTGTGAGCACGTGGCAGGCAGGCTCAGGGGTTTCTGGGTTACATGTGGACCCCGTCCTGTCCTTCTCTGCAGCAAACTTTCCCTTCCCGAATCCAAGGACAAGGGCATCCCCACAGGCGGGCTTTCCAGGACTAAGCTGTCGTCCCCTTGTTCCTAACCCAGTGCTTGGTGTGTACATGGAGCGCCACACAGCTACAGTGGCCTTCCCAACTCACCCTCCCTCCTCTCCTAGAGGTGGTCTTCTTCGCCAGTCACCCTTGTCTAAGTCCGGGAGCCGAGAAGGCTCAGGACCTTACCTGTGCGCCGCTTTGGGAATCCGGATGGGGAAGTGTCCATGGGGGAGGTATCTGGGGCAGAAGGGCTGTTCTCGGGACTTGTGCCAGAGCTGGAAGGTGAGGACTTTGGGGAGGCTGGCACAGGCTTCTAGAAAAGGAAAGAGCAGTTCTGGGTGAATAGAAAGGGGCGGGCCAATGTGGCTTCATCAGCTCATCAACTCTAGCCTGCCCTAGGGTCCTACCCCCACAAGCGCTCCATCTCCCAGGGTCAATTCCTGCTTCCAGATTCTTCCCAATGTGAACCCCAGTCACAATTCTGTTGTCTACAGTAACAGCACCTTTCATGTGTAACTATGCATATGATCACCCAACAGAAGGCTACATTTCCCAACTTCCCTCACAGCTAGTATGGGGTTGGTCCTAAGGACTACATTTCCCAGCCTCCCTTGCTGCTAAGGGAGGTCCTGAACTTCAGTTCTATGCAATGGAGCAGTAGGGGAAATGAAGCACTCTCTCCTTCTAACAACATTCACTTGGAAAGGAGGGGCTGCACACTGCCACTCCCGAGGACAGGCATCTGGGGGCAGCAGGCTGCAAAGCTCTGACTCTGAGGCTTCTAGCAGATCTGGAGCTTTCTGTGCTCATCAGAGAGAAAAATAAATCTTTCCCAAGCCAATGTTCTTTGTGAGTGTGCTACTAACCACACAGGGCCCTGGACCAGCTGTGGAGTTCAAGCCTACTGCTCTCCTCTCCACTGGATGCCGGGCCAAGGACTCAAGAGCCCATCTTCCTGCTGACAGCTGCTAGGTTCAGCTTCGGTAGTGAGACCAAGCTCTTCCCACCCCCAGGCACGGAAGATCACAAGCTAAAGGTAGAAGCTGCCAACAAAAGTTTCTACCTCCAGGATGCATTCAGGCTTGTTTTACCCTTCAGCCACCTAGATAACAGTGACTATCTGAGCAACAGTTCTCTACTCTTTCTTAGTCACAGGAGTGACTATCTCCTATCTGGATCCCTCTGGCAGGAAGCCTCAAAGGGATATTTGGAATTCTGCCCTGACCAAAGCTACACCTGCCTTGATCCTACTCAGAATACTTTCTTTAAAGACTTTTATTTGCACATATGAACTGTATACGGGAGCCTCTTTGTTCTATTTCTATACATACGCATAAGACATTTTGATCATGTTCATTGTTACTTTCTTATCATCCTCTTTTTCTTATCTTACTGTTTTTCATGGGCTTCATAATTTTATTTTCCTACCATCTTCAGAGCAAAGCCTAGGCTTCTAGAAACATCTGTGTTCCAGTCTCTCAAATCTATGATACATTGTATTACATGGGCAGGGGTAACAGGTTGCTCAAGGGCTGGGGTGTGGATCAGTGGCAAAGCATTTGTAGGACCTCCTACTAACTGTGAGGTACACATTGCTTGAGTTTGGGGAACACATGTAACAACCTGGGCAGAGTGGGAACTGGAACCCTGTAGTCTAGGCACAAGCACTCGACTTGCCCACATTCCAGGAAGTCTCCACAGTCCTGAGCAGCTGCTGCCCTGGGCTCCAGGGGTGAAGAGGAAGTAGGTTTGTGCTGGCAGGGGCCTCAGGGGCCTACCTGGCCTTTGTGGGTATCGAGGGCTTCATCTTCCTCCTCCCCTTCGCTGCTCAGAACCCGGGCTGCCTTCTTCGCCGGCCTCTTCACTGGAGAGTCACTTGGAGACACCACTCCATTCCGCTCCTTCAGCGCCGCCCTGCAAGGAGGCCAGGCGGCTGTGACAATAGCCACCACCTTGTCCAATCTGGGTCCTCACACTTGCTAGGCAGGCTCTCGCTAAGCCAAGCCTCCACCCCTCCTTTTTAGCACCTGGGTACCATTCATCCATCTGCGGTGTAAAGACGAAGCAGCTGTGAGCCTGGGAGAGGCCCCATACCATCTCTCTCAGAACACACACAAGAGGCCACAGCTTAGTCCCCAGAGCAAGGAGCCCTTATGCCAGCAAACTGGAAACCTCCTCAGTATCTACTGATGCTAATTTCTACAGTAGGTGAGTTAAGTAGAACACAAGGTAGAAGAGGGTTAGAGAAGCCCTTGTCCTTCCCCCACCCGCCTGCAGGCCCCTTACTTGGGAGGCGCAGGGGGCTCCGTCTCTCTGCTGCCTTTGGTTGTAGCCTCTTTTTCAGGCTTCTTCACTTTACCCTCGTTGGCAGGTTGGAAAAATGACCTGGACAAACACAGGGGTGCAGAAGGGAAATGCTGACAGCATCGTGCCACCCAGTTACCATGCATAAGGAAACGACGTGTGAAAAGACACAGAGCAACTCTTAAGGGGAACCGGTGGGCAGCCAAAGATGCTGGCCACCCAGGACCAGCTGTCCCCAGACCACTCACCTATCTCCTGGGCTTCTGGGCTCCTCCCGCCTCCCAGGTTCCTGAGCTGCATAGCCCCCTTCCCCTTCTGCTAGCACACTCCATTTTCCTCTTGAGATGTCCCTTCCCAGAATCCTCTCTGCACATATGACATCACCGATGACCCACCATGGATACAAGACTTAAGTCTGGCCCAATCAGTACACTGTCTGCCTAGGGCCAAAGCAGCTGGCTTGGGGATAGGATACGCTCCTAGTTTAAATATGACTTTACTTTTTTTCCCCTTTTTTTGGTGCCAGTTCTAGGGCTTAAACTCAGGGCCTGGGCACTGTTTCTGAGCTTTTATGCTCAAGGCTAGAGATCTACTATTTGAGCCACAACTCTACTTCCAATTTTTTCAGTAGTTAGTTGGAGATAAGAGTCTCACAGACGTTCCCCCCCGCTGGCTGGCTCCCCCCCACCCCCCGCCCCCTCTGTTGGCTTCAAACAACTATCCTTAGACGTCAGCCTCCTGAGTAGCTAGGATTACAGATGTGAGCCACCAGTACCTGGCTAAACCTGACTTTAAATACTGCTGGAAAAAGAGACACTCCCTCCTTTGGGAAGCCAGAGTGACTGTAACAACATCAAAGACTACCGGGCTGAAGGGAGAGAGAGATTTCCAGTGATAAAATCTGACAGCTAGACCCAACTAAGCCTGAAGCCATTATGATAAGCAATTCCCTTCCCAAGACTCCAGGTTTGTTCTCCCAGGTAAAACTGACAGGAGGCTGGACCATCCTCTGTGTGTGTGTGTGTGTGTGTGCACGCACCAAGTGCACGTATGTGTGCACACGGGGAAGGTATTCACTGGAGTTGAGTAGGCTCTGTCTTGCTTCTGTCCACTAGATGGCGCCAGCAAGCCCCCACACCCCTAGGTTGTAACAACTGCAGACCAGAGTTAAGTTCTCCATCCCCCCAATAGTAACTAAAACTAATACTCTAAGCTGGATGTTTAGCTACTCAGGAGGCTGAGGTCTGAGGATGGAAGTTCAAAGCCAGCCCAGGGCAGGAAAGTCCATGGGACTCTTATCTCCAATAAACCAGAAAAAAGCCAGAAGCAGAGCTGTGGCTCAAGTGGTAGAGCACTAGCCTTGAGTGAAAAGCGCTTAGGGACAACACTCAGGCCCTGAGTTCAAGCCCCAGAACTAGAACAAAAAATAAAATTAAAAAAAATTAATAATACTTTAAGCTGGGTGCTGGTGGATCATACCTGTAATCCTAGCTAGTCTGAAGGCTGAAATCTGAGAATCATGGTTGGAAGCCAGCTCAGGCAGGAAAGTCCATGAGATTCTTATCTCCAATTAATCACCCAAAAACTGGAAAGTGATGCTATGGCTCAAAGTAAGAGTGCCAGCCTTGAGCAAGAGCTCAGGGGTATTGTCTAGGCTGTGAGGTCAAGCCCCACAACTGATAATTCTACCTGTCTCCTCATAACATCTCTTCTTTTCCAGGCTGGTCAGCTCCTGGAAATGCCAGTGTGAGGACACAGGAAGTTCTAAGGAAAGGCACAGCTATGGTACAAGTGTGGAGCGTGAGCATGGGGCATGTGGGGTCCTTACCTGATAGTTCGTTGCATGATGGCGTCCAAATGCTCCCGTCCTCTCTCCTTCCTGGTCTTTCTTCTGAAACACAAATCCAAAGACTCTTGAAGATATTGATTATGCAAAGACACCCCCCCCAAAAAAAAATCACTTCCTCAAAGGAAAAAACACCGAAAGAACAAAAACTACAACCAGAAACTCTCAATTTTATAAACCAGAATGAAGTGTAAAAGTTCCAAATGGGAGAAAAAGGGAAGATGTCGCCTTTAGCATACACAGACTTTTCATTTAATATGAAGGATTCATTGAGGCCTCTTAAGATTTTTATCCAGTTTTTCTGGAGTGGCGCTGTGGCTCAAGTGGCTTGCCCAGTTAACTTGTGAATCCAGATCTGGTAATGCACTGGTGCTGATTTCCTGGTTGTGATAAGAGGCCACTGATGGGGAGGCTGGATATACGAGTTTTACAATTTCCTATAAGCTACAATCATGACAAAAATAAAAACAGTGCTGGAGATGCAGTGACAGACTGCTGCTCTCCCTGGCATGCACAAAGCCCTGGGTTCCATCCTAGCAACTCTGAGAAAAAGAAAAGTTGAGGGGGCTGGGAAGGTGGCTCAGTGGTAGAGTGCTTGCCTTGCATGCATGAGGCCCTGAGTTCAATTCCAGAAAAAGCTGGAAGTGGCACTGTGGCTCAAGTGGTAGAGCGCTCACCTTAAGCTGAAGAGCTGAGGGACAGAGCTCAGGCCCAGAGTTCAGACCCCACAACTGACAAAAAAAAAAAAAAAAAAAAACCCACAAAGAAAAAACCCTGAAAAGTTAAGATGAACAATAAAACAGAACAAAAGAATTCTCCCTGGGTACTAATATAGCCTAAAATCCCAGACATACTAAAAATTTAAGTAACAGTCAAGAGTTCAGAAGATGGTATTTAGGCCATCTGTTACCAATTTTGCTAGATGGGGAAAATAATTCTGCGTGCATTGGCAAACCCACGGAAAAAAACCCACGAAAGTGTAAAGGGCAGATCAGGTAGGGACAGGGTGTGTCCTAAACTTTCTTTTTCTTTTTTTTCCTTCCTTCATTCCTTCTTTCCTTCCTTCCTTTTCAGTACTGAATTAACTTTGGCCATATTCCAGCCCTTGTGTCTATTTGGATAATACCTCACTACCTCTGCCCAGGCTGGCCTAGAACTATCAATCCCTTGCCTCTGCCTGCCAAAAGGCTGGGATTATAGGCCTGTACCACAACACCCAGCTTGGCCCAGTCTTTCTATGGATAGAGGTAAAGCCGGATTTTAGTGTGAACTATACACTTGCATTACCGGTTCAACCTTTTAAGAACTAGTAAATCTAAGCTCTAAATAATTTTTCTATTACCCCCCCCCACACACACTTCCTTCTGAATCTTCCCTCTGAGGACTGCCTAGTCCACAGCCCCCATGCTCCATCCACAGTATTGTGTCCAATCCTTCCCCTCCCCTCCTAAGCTTCACCAGGCACTCTGGCTCTAAGACCCTTTCTGACCATCTATGAAGTAGTTTTGTACTTCTCTTGCCATACGTTACCATCTTATGGGGACCCTGTGCCCTGGTGATGAAGTGTTCAGGGAGTCTATCCTTCCAAGGGCACATGGAATGCTAGAGACAGGGCTGAGCCCGATTCACCCCCCAACTGTTTCTTCCAAACCCATTTCCCAGACACCAACACTTTGGTGATTTCCACCACTACTGCACATGATCTGAATGTTTTTACTTACTTTTCTTATAAAAGACTTCTTTTGCCAGGTGCCAGTCATGCCTGTAATCCTAGCTACTCAAGAAGCAAAGATCTGAGGATCTCGGTTCAAAGCCAGCCCGGGCAGGAAAGTCCGTGAGACTCTTTATCTCCCATAAACCACTAGAAAACTGGAAGTGGCACTGTGACTCAAGCGGTAGAGTGCTCGCCTTGAGCTAAAGAGTGCATGGGCAGCACCCAAGCCCAGAGTTCAAGCCCCATGACCAACAAAAAAAAACAACTTCTTTTTTTCCTCCTACCCAGTCCTGGGGCATGAACTCAAGAGCTTCTTTTGTCAAGGCTAATGCTTTAACACTTGAGCTATTGTACCACTTCTGGCTTTGAGTAGTTTATTGGAGATGAGTCTCAAGGGGACTTTTCTGCCTGGACTGGCTTCGAACCACCATCCTCAGATCTCAGCCTCCAGAGTAGCTAGGATTATAGGCATGAGCCCCAGTGCCAGCTCTCTTTTTAAAAAATTTATTTTATTTATTTTGCCAGTCCTAAGGCTTGGACTCAGGGCCTGGGCGCTGTCCCTGAGATTCTTTTGCTCAAGGCTAGCATTCTATCACTTGAGCCACAGCGCCACTTCCCGCTTTTTCTGTGTATGTGGTACTGAGGAATCAAACCCAGGAATCAAACCATGCATGCTAGGCAAACACTCTGCCACTTCCCAACCCCCCTCCTTAAAAAAAAAAAAAAAAAAAAAAACTAACCAAGGTATTTATTTACTAGGTGATACTATTACACGCGCTTAAAAATTTTACTCTGGTTTATTATAGCTATTTTACAAATAAGGAATGGAGGCCCAGACAGGTTAGATACTTTGTTCAAAGTCACACAGCTTCGTGGTCTGCAGAGTCAGGTGTTGAGCTCCAGCAGCCATGTCCTTGACCACCATCCAACTTGAGGAGGAAAGGAAAGGTCTCTCTGCATTGGGATGTATTAGGATGCAGGTGGTTCTAGATCCAAAGGCTATAGAGGTGACATGAGCCAGAACCATAATGTTACCTGTGCCTCTCAACAACTTAACAGGGCACTGCTCATTTCCATCCTATTTCACCCACAAGGAAAGAAGCACCAAGTGTAGTGATACATGCCTATGATCCCAACACTCAGGAAGATGAGACAGGAGGATTGTGAACTGTGGCTTAAGTTGTAGAGTGCTAACCTTGGGTAAAAAAGCTATGGGACAGTGCCCAGATTCTGAACACACACACACACACACACACACACAATGGGACAGTGCCCAGATTCTGAACACACACACACACACACACTACTAGCTTGGCTTGCCTTGAGTCACTGAGCTCAGAGCTCATCCATGGTACAGGGGAATTCAATCCAAGTAATTTGACTCCAGTCTGCACTGAGTAAACAAAGACCCATCTTTCATCCCTCTAGACAGAAGCATGCCTCTGCAGAAGCAGAATACAGCCCCACAAAGAACAGAACAGGTTGCTAAGTTCCAGGTAGAGATGGCTGAACACCAGGCCCAACGGCCAAGCCAAGTCCAGGCCTATTGTGCTAGAGGTCTAGTGAGCCAAGCACTAAACTATACAGCTGTGGAGGCTCAGACCACCCAGCACCAAAACCTGAAAGAAGCAAACCAAATTAAAAAAAAAAAAAAGGGAATGTAGAAGAGAGACACTGTTACTCAATGGCAGCTCTGAGAACCACTCCGCTTGACCCGCACAAAAGGATACTTTTACACCAGGTACCTACTTATAGTTACCCAGGTTTTTTTGTTGCTTCAAGTTACATTCTGTTAACTATAGGGAGGGGGGAGGGTGTTAGGGAACACACTGCTTTGACACTGCTGTCTACTTTCCTACTCAAATGTCCCATGATAAAAATTTACTTTCCTTTCCCCCTCAAAAAAACAAAAATAAGTCAAGCTGGGTGTGGTAGTGACCCAGGCTGGTACTCTCAGAATCTGAGACACAAGAAGATTCTGAGTCCAAAGACAGCTGGAGCTACACAGTACCACATGGAAGCTCTAAATTCTATCTCTGGCACTAGGGAGGGGAAAGGAAGAGGAAAACGGAGGGGAGACAATATAATGCTAAGTTACTTATTTGAAAGGTTTCACGACCCAAGAGAAAAGGAGCAACCTCAAATTAGGAATAAGGTTATCATCTGAAGCCAGGTGCCGGTGGCTCATACTTGTAATCCCAGCTACTCAGGAAGCTGAGCTCTGAGGATCAAGGTTCAAAGACAGCCCCAGACAGGAAAAGTCGGTGAGACTCTGGTCTCCAATTAATCATAAAAAAGCTAGAAGATAAAGCATCAATAAGTCCTAAGCCTCCCCTAGGTGCTCCCCAGCTATGGCTTGACTGTTTTTTCTGGCTGTCAGGCGCTCCCTTGGATCGGCTCAGCTCCAGCATCAGGCCATAGACAAGACCAGACTTCTCCCCAGCCGGATGGATCCTTCAGGAGGAGGCCTTTACCTAGGCAGACCACAGAACCCGCCTAGGCCCCAACCCCCAGAGGGACACGCCCCTCGCAGCTCACGTGAGGCGTCCTGCCACGCCCTAAAGCGGCCGCAGCTTCCAAGTCGGCCCCGCCTCCCCAGGATATGCTAATTTCCCGATGACCTCCGGAGCCCACCGGCAGCTCCAGGCTAATCCCCAGGCGGCCCCGCCCCCAGCCCTCTGGCCCCTCCCCCTCCCGCGCGGCCCGGCCCCTCCAAGCCTCTTGAGACCTCTTAACTACGTTCAGCTGCCAGGGTCTCGGGTCTACCCCTACGCCGGGCTCCTCAGCCCCTTCTCAGGCCGGCGGCCCGGGGCTCGCTGCCTGCGCGCGCCCTCGGCCCCTCAGCATCCCCGCGCCCGTTCCTTGGCCGCCACCGAGAACCCGGGAAAGCCACGGGCCCAGAACGCTTTGCACGCTCGCCAGCCCCAGCCTCGCATTAGGCGGCTCCACTTGCCTCGCGCCTCCCCGCGAGCCGCTGCTCCGGGACGCCTCAGTCGCTCAGCTCCGAGTACCCGGCAGTCCCAGATTCGCGCCACGGAATTCGCGCGCAGACTTCGGGGGGTCAGGGGGCGGGGCCGTCCGGGGGCGGGGTCAGGGTGCTGTTCGCGCCGCGGCGGCCGCCGCCACTCAAAGGATTCTGGGAGTTGTAGTCTTCCCTAACAAGCGGCAACCTGAAAGCAGGAGGAGCTGAGGCCAGCCTTGACGCACAGCATGCTGGGAAGAGGGCCAGAATCGGCCCTCGCCCAGGATGAGCAGGTGAGACTGCGGGTTCCAGGGTGGGTGGGGGAAGCAGGGAGAGGGAATAGACTGGCGGGGACCGAGGAAAGATTGACGGAACCGCCGCGCGGAGCATGGCGGGAAGAGAGGCGGGAGGCCGCGCGGAGCATCCCGGGAACAAGGGCCGGGCTGGCCCCGGCGCACGGCATTGTGGGAGGCGGGCGCCGCTCCGGGTTGGGTAG